CCCCCCGAGCTACAATCAATTCACATTATTTCCCACGGTAATGGGGTTCTTGAGAACAGAGGGCAAGTGGTTCACGAGGAGGAGTGGTATCCCACTGAATAAAGTGATTAAAAATGAAATATCTTGGAAACTGAGTATCATGAGGTCGACTAACAGAGAAGTGAAGTGGAATTTCCAAATGGAGCAATTGCAACATGTAATCATGATCAAGTTGGTGTTCGATAAGTGCCTGACACAATCCCATATGAAAGACATCTGTTGTTGAGATAGCATATGAACTCAATGATAGATACAGAGAGCAAGATGAACGGTGCTTAGGTCAACGAGAAAATGCAAGCCGTTTGAATGGTCTTGTGCAGGATGAGTAGCAATCATTCAAAGACGGAAGAAATGTATTATTCATTAATGACCAACTGAAAGATTTTCAACCGTATCAGTGACAAAAGTGACCTTTATTTTCTGAAAAGACACATTTGTCTAAAGCATACGAATCAGACACTTTCTTTCGTATCGGTTACTATAGTGTCTTTGTTCAAATGACCATTATCATGAAAATAGGGATTCATTTACTAAAACCTAATGCTCTAAACGGCAGTTATACTGCTCGACAGTTTCCCTCGCGCGCGCACATTCTCGACTATTTGTACCTAAGTGACACATGGACTATCTGGAGTAATGAGAATCAGGTGATACAAACTCTTATTGCTAGTAGATTGCCTCGCGGAAATTCCAGACTCTAAATGAATAGCACTGAGAAATTTCTTTGCCTGTTCTGTTGTTCTAACGTGTGATATATATATATATCTATATATATATCAAGAGAAAATGGAGGCGTACACTAAGTTGTAAAATGTTTATTGTAACGTTTCGATCCAAACTAGGACTGGCCGTCAAACGTAAATGAAATGAATGAAATAATGGGATTAACATCTTTCCGTGCTCCTGTGTGCTGTTTGTACGTCTATCAGTCCACCAATCATCACGGGTTTTGCGAGTGTGACGTATTGTTTGTCTATCTCGACGTGTCAGTTGAACGAATTGACTGAGTGCAAATCTTGGAGGATTAATTGCTCTCGCTTCTTCTTAGCTCGTGCCACAACCTTTGCGCTATCGATCGCGATCTCGTGACCCGTCCGTGCGCAGTGGTTCCAGATTTGTGACCTCGGGTCAGCGCGTCGGGCAAGCTTGTGTTCGTGTAGGCGGGTGTGTAGTTGTTTGCTTGTCTTACTTATGTATTGTTGATTGCAGCCCAGGCACAGGATTGCGTAGATTACTCCTGATCGTTCGTGCTGTTCGACTCGATGCTTGCCGTTGAAAAGGGATGATCGCACGGTTGCTGCCGGTTTATGGGCGATCTTGATTCCCAACGGTCGGAATATTCGTTCGGTGGCTTCTGATGTGCCTTGTATGTAGGGTAGCGTTATCCAAGTTCCTTCTTTTGTATGTGTTGTTTGTTTCTTACCTCTGAGGCACGCTTTGATAAAACTCCTGGGATATGCGTTTGATAGGAACAGTCGAAAGAGTCGACTTCTTTCTTTTGTCCTTTACTCCGGTGTGCTCGGCGGAATAGAGTTCGCACACAACTTTTTAGGTAGCACAAAGGGTGATTGCTGTTGTAGTTGAGGATGCGGTCTG